TAAAGATTGCTGGTTAGTTCTATGCATTATTCATTTAGTGGATGAAAACAAATTTTCAATTAGTTAATTTAATGTAAAATAGCTTGGTATGCATACATATCTATTTTTGTTTATCCATCTACATGTAAACTTTCTGGCCTGTTGGATATATACACATTTGTCTTATTAGCTACTTTCCAACAGGCTTCCACGTATCTGTACCAGTTTGCACTCCCACCATCAGTGTGCAAAAGCTCTAATTGCTCAACAGCCTTACCTAGAATTAGAACTGTCACTGATTTCTCTGTTTGTGTGTGTGTTTGCTTCTACTTGTTTTAGTACTTATGGTGAATGTATAGTAGTCTCATAATTGCAATTTGTAAAGATGTAAAGTGCCTTTTTTGTATTTTCATTAGCCATTCATGAGTTTCCTATTCAAGTTGTCTCCCATTTCCCTACTGGATTGTCTATCTATTCCTTTTCTTTTTGGAGTCCTATTTATATTCTAGAAAAGAGTTCTTTGTTGTATATATGTAATGCAATTATCTTCTAGTGTGTGGCTTGCATTTTCATGTTTTGTTTTGCTTTGTTTTTGATGCTGGGGATGAAGCCCAGGGCCTCATGCATGCCAGGCAAGCACTCTATCATTGAGCTACATCCCCATCATTTTTTATGTCTTTAATGAGGTGTTTTGATGGACAGAAATTCTCAATTTTAATGAAGGGCATTTTATCAATTTTTTCCCTCAAAGAAATCTTCATCTACTGCCCAAGACTATGAAGATATTCTTCTATGTTCTCCTCAAAAGTTTATATTAGCTTTTACTTTCAAAGCTGTTATCCACTTCAAACTAATTTTGATGCATAGTGTGAAGTAAGGCTCAGTTTTCAATATTCCCCATATAAACATCCAATTTTTCAACATCCTGAATGCCAAGGACATCTTTTCCTTCCACTGAACCTTGTTGGCACCTCTGTCTTAAACAAGTGACTGTGTATGGGTGGGTCTGCTTCTGCACTCTATATTATGTCTGTTGGTCTGTGTCCATTCTTGTGCCATTATTACACTGTGTTGATTACTGTAATTTATTAACATGTCTTAAAATCTGCTAATATAGGTCCTTCAACTTTATTCTCCATAAAACATATCTTTGCTTCTCTTGACCCTTTGAATTTTCATATAAACTTTAGAATCAGCTTGTCAAGTTCCTCAAAACAAACATTTGGGATATTTATGGAGATCCTCTAAATCTATAAATCAACATGGTAAGAACTGACATCTGAATGATATTGAATTATCTTATTTATCTCAGTATATTTTGTACTTCTTGTGGAGCAGTTTCATATATCTTTTATTGAACTAATTTCTAAGAATATTTTTTGTTCAAAATTTAATAATTAATGTTTAATTAAAATTGTTAATTATTTGTTGTTTGTACATGGCCCTGGGTCAAATTCTAGCACTGCAAAAAAAAAAATAGATTAAACTTTTGGAGTAAACTTCTTGTGGTCTACATGCAAGCAAACATATTCTGTAAGTACAAAACAACCAACTTTTATAAGCTGGCCTTCATATATTCACTTACTAATTACAATAGCTTACCTATATCTTAAAATGTTCAATATAAAAAATATTTAGTCTTCAAATAACAACAATTTTATTTTTCTTTCTCTAATTCTTATAGTTTATACATTTTCATAGGCATTTTTATTGCCTAGAATCTCTAGTAAAATGTTGAAGAGATGATATAGATCCTTATTTCATCCTTATTTCAAAGGAAATGCTTCAATATTTCACCATTAAACACAGTATTTATTGTAGTTTTTTGTAAATACTTTAATATAAGATTAAGAAATTGTATAGGTGAACTACAGCACATTCACAGAGGTGTTTGGAGCATCAACATTCATAAAAACCAGAAACTAGAAACAAACTAAACTTATATTAGCAGTAGAATGAATAGATAAATGTGGTATTTCCATGCATCAGAATACTATATAGCAATATAAAAGGATACATTGCCACTATACGCAACAAAATAGTGATTCTCACAAATATAATATTCAGTGAAAAAGCATATGCATATATGTGGTAATTTCTCATATTTAGGAAGATTTTTATTGCTTCACTGTAGCCATCTGAAAGCTTTTGCCAATGTGTTGATTAGAAGACCATCAAACATCAGCATGACTATGTGAGAAAATACTTCTTTATTGCCTTATCACTCAGTCTTAGTCATATACCACCATCATTATGTATTTAATCAGCCAAATTAATAGTTTCTGTGGTAGAATACCCTAAGGTTCCCCCCTCATGAGTCATGCTCTTGTATAAACCCCTCTCTCCTTGAGGGCAGACAGAGCCTGTGATTTATTTCTGCAGATAGAATATAACAGAGGCTGAGGGTCCCTAGTCACTCCCTTGACTAGGCCACATTCCCTAAGACTCCACCTGAGCAGTCTGAGAGAGAGGGGTTCTTCTGCAGGTCTTAAAGAAAGAACTGCCACTGGGGCCTGTAATCCCAGCCACGTGAGAGGCTGAGGCAGGAGGATCAAGAGTTCAAAGCCAGCCTCAGTAAGTGCCTTACTGAGGCACTTAGCAACTCAATGAGACTATGTCTGTAAAATAAAATTTAAAAAAATTTAAAAATGGGTGGGAATGTGGCTCAGAAGTTAAATACCCCTGGGTTCAATCCCCAGTACCCCCCCCCAAAAAAAAGGAAGGCAGGCTGAAGCTGCCAAGTTGTAAGAGGGCTATGTGAACTGTGGGTGTCTCTAGGAGCAAAGAGTGGTCCAGAGAGACACCAAGAAAACAGGACCTCAGTACAATAACTACAAGGAAGCAAAATATGCCAACAACCACATGACACTCTGGGCTGGAGAACTCAGCCATGGCTGAGAAGTGGTTTGTAGCCTGGACCCTGAGAGGAGGATCCAGCTTAGCTGTGTCCAGACTCCTGGCCCATGGAAACCGAAAGACAACAGGTGCATGTTGTTTCAAGGCAAATGTCTGTGACATAATTTTAGACAGCAACAGATAACTAATACAGCTCCCCTGACTCTCACTAGACTTACCTTTTGTCACTGGGAGAAGTGAAGTTATTGACATGGAACCAAGGGAACAGATTTTTGAACCTGCTTCAACATGGACTAGTGAACCTCTAAACCTAGCCACAGTTGTCATCCTGGGATCCCCCCCTAGTCCTACAGATCCCTTTGTGTTCTGATTATCTTTCCCCATGTATTCCTCTTTCTGGGTTTTATTTTCTTTTAGAAAGACAACTTCCTAAATGGTTTCCTTAGAAAATATGCATGAAAATGACATGGAGATCTTACATGTTTGAAATGTATTTATTCTACACTTCTATTTAATTGGCAGTTGCTTTGGATATAGACTTCTAGATAGGAAATGATTTTGAAGGCATTATCCCACCAGGGTTGCTATTGACACATCAGAAGCAATTCTGATTCCTGCTACTTTGTATATGACCTGTCTCTTTTCCTTCTCTAAGGAGATATTTAAGGTTTTCTCCTTGTCCTCAATGTTCTGAAATACCCAGCAATATGTCTTGAACAAGATCCATTTTCACCTGTTGTGCTAGGCACTTAGTGAGCCCATGCAATCTGGAAACAAAGTCCTTTGGTCGAGGGGAATCATCTTGAATTAGCTTCCCTCCTGTTTCCTCTGCTCTCTCTTTCTCTTTTAAAAACCCTTATAATCTGGATGTTAGACTAGTTTCCTGAGTGTGTCGATGTTCCTTGCAATCTGAAAGAAACTATTTAGCATGCCTTACAAGGCCACAAAGAACAATAGCCTGTGCTAGTCAGCTCTCTTGCACTGAAATACCTGGGGTATGGTGGGGGGATTGAAAGGAGGAAAGATTTATTTTGTCTCACTGTTTCAGATGTTCTAATCCATGGTTAGCTGGCTCCGTTGCTTTTTGGCCCATAGTGAGGCAGAGCTTCATGGTAGGAAGCACATGGTAGAGCAAAGCTGTTCATCTCATGTAGCCAAGGGAGCAGAGGGACAGAAAGGGTCAGGGTTTCAACATTTCCTTAAGGAACATGCCCTTAATTACTCAATTCCTTCAACTAAGCCCCACCTCTTAAGTTTCTACTACCTCCCAAGAGCCCAATCAGCTGAGTTCAAAAATGGAATAATCCATTGATAAGGTCAAAGTTCTCATGATCAGATCACCTTCCAAAGACCCCACCTCTGAAAAAATCATGCACTGGGAACCACAAGCTTTTGGAGAACATTTCAGATCCAAATCATAACATTCCACCCCTGACCCTCAAAGGCTCATGTCCAGAGTCTCAACACTTCCAGCATTGTTCTAAAGGCTAAGCCCAAAGTTTCCTCTGAGACTCAAGGCAATCTCTTAGTTATGAGCCCTTGTAAAATCTAAAGGAAAGCTACATACTTCCAGGATACAATAGCACAGGGTAAACATTCATATTCCAAAAGGGACACATAGGAAAATAGCAAGGAGGACTTAGACCAAAGCAAGACTGAAATTCAGCATGGCTAAACATTAAATCCTCTAGCTTTATGACTGGCATCTGGGGTAGACAGTGGCATAATTCAAGGTTCAAAGACCTTGGTGAGTCCCACCTCCATGGCTTTGCTAGCTGCAGCCCACATGCCCCCTTTCTTGGGCAGGTGCTGCTCACTGCCTGTGATTTCCCTATGCAGACATTTCATGTCCCTGGCATCTCTAGCTTCCCGGGGTCTCCACTGCAGCTTTGGCTTCACTCTCGCAGCTTCTTGCATTGCCCTGTCAGGGGCTGCTCGCAGGGAGTCTGATTTTACTACACACTGCCTGGCTTCGCAGCCTTTCCTTTGAAATCTCAGTGGAAGTCTCCATGACCTCAGAATGTTTGCATTCTGCATGTCTGCAAAACTAGCGCCATGTGAACAGCACCAAGGTTTGCCATCAGCAAGAGCAATAGCTGGGCTCCCTTGAACCACAGCTGCAGTGGCCTCTGAGTGGTTGGATAGCTGAACACAGGGAAGCAAAATCCCAAAAAATAATTCATTAGGCAGCCCTGTGCAAGTAGGACATCCCAGACTTTCTTCTTACAGCAACATTTTTCAAATAAGTTTATATTTTTATGTTCATGACCCTGCAATGAGTTTTTCTGCTTCCTCGAGGCATTCTTCCTATTTTCCCAGACAAAGTACTTGTCTTCTTTTTAATGATACTAGTCTCTTTAGCAACCCTCCTTTGTCACAACTTTAAATGTGTATCTGTTCTGGGCAAAAACTGAAAGTTTTTCCAAATCTTTCTACTCTGCTTTTCACTCCCAGTTCTCACTGTTAATCTGCCTAAAAGCATCCAATAACACCCATGCCACTAACTGAATCCTGTCTTGCCTTGAAATTTCCTGACAGATTTATTGATCTATTTATTACCTTTAAACTCACCCTCACACAAACCAAGTCTCAGGGTATGGACAAAAGGTAGACCATTTCTTTGCCATTATGCAACGAATGGCCTCTGGTACAATTTTGAATAGAGTCCTCGTTTCCACCTGAAACTTCATCAACACAGACTTTACTGTCCTATCAGCATTCTGATCTCCCACCAGGATCATCCCCTAAGCTCCATTTAAAATATTCCAAGCTTTCTTTAGTCTTTTTCTCCAAATGTTTCCAAACTCCTCTTGAAAACCACTTCCAAAGCTTATGGTCAGGCATAGTCAGCAATACCCCACTTTTCAATACCAATTTTCTGTGTTAATGAGGTTTCTGTCACTGTGACCAAATACATGAGAAAAACAACTTAAAAGGAGAAAACATCTATTTTGACTCACAGTTTCAGAGGCTTCCTATGGGGGCAGGGCATCATGGCAGGCGGTACCTGGTGGAGGAAAGCTGCTCACCTCATAACAGCCAGGCAGCAGACAGGCATCTCAGATCCAAACCGTAACATGGCCTAAATGAGGATTTCAGCTTAGATTCTTGCCACCTTCTACAGGTTGTTAGAAAAGATGCCACTTTCTGATTTTGCTGTATTTTTACTCAAGTTGGTCTTGTTTCTTATGATGAGTTGCTGATTGTAGTGACTTCTAAGCCCTATTGCCTTTCTCACAAATCACCAAACTGCAAGAAAAGCAAAACTATGCAATTACTTTTTGTCTCCCTGCTTTATTTCCTACAATGTGTTTTCTGTCTAAGTTATTGTTTTACTGTATTCCCTTTATCATGTGTTTTAGTGGATTTGAGAAGAGGCTGTTACATTAATTGGGACTCTCACTGGCAAGAGGTAGACACCCAGCTTGAGCAAACTTGAGCAAAAAAAAAAAAAAAAAAACAGAAGAAAAAATCTATCGAGAGGACACAGTCAAGTCACAAGAAATTCAGATTCTGCTGGGCATCAGGAACAACTAGAGTAGGTGCTAACCATCATCTAAGCCAAGCCTCTATTTCCTGTCTCTGCCTTTCTCTGATATCTCTTTCTTTTCTCTTGAAGCCTTATTCATATGGGAAAACAATGATCAGTAATAACTTCAAACTTTAACAATTTATAGCTTTAGTCAGGTGACAGACTGAAGCTCACTGAGTCCCAAATTTCAAAATCCTGCATAGTGACTGACTAACCAACCCAACTTAGGCATCAATTCATAGATCAACCAACTATAGACCGAGAATCAGGGTCCCAGAAAAATATTGCTAACAGTGCAGATGGCAAAGGAGAGGAACAACTCATAGATTATAGGTGCTGGTGTCTATGGGCATTCCCATAGATAGTCCTTACAGTAATCCTTCTTTTTAAGGCCTAAGGATATAGATGTTGTGATGGTACTTAACAAATAAGATTTGCTCTTCTCTGAGATACTACTGCCAGATCCTTCACATGCCTAAATGACATCTCAGCAGATCCTGCTATGCACAAAATAGAGAATAGACAACCAGGGAAGGACAGGATTGAATCACTAAAAATTTTTTTTCCAAATTCATAGTGCACACTCAATATAATCTCATTCGATTCTTCCAGTAATAACTTCTTAGTGCATTGTGGATAGAAACATGCAGATTTGCCTTAACTTGTTTTGTTCCATCACCCCAGAAGTGGAAACCTACAAAAACTTACACTGAGCAATAAATATTTATAGTCACTTTGAAATAATATTTGAACATTTATCACATTGTCAGAATTGAAAACTTGGGACTTAATGAGTTAATAACTTGATTAGCAATGAACCTATTCTTAATTCAACAGGTAATTTCCAAAATTCTGTTCCACCATCTATGTAGACCTGACCCAGAAGGGCTGAATAGAAGAGAATGTCTATTCCTAAGTGGATGTTGGGCTCCTTGAATGCACTATAACATTATGCAGGACAAAGGAGACCTTCAAAAGCTTTAACTCCAATGTTAATAAAAGCAAGAGGAATACGATTTTGTGTCAGATTTCTTTTACTCATTGTAATTGGGATACCGCATTCTTAGGTCCTTCTGAATTCTTTTCAGCCTCTAGTGAGTCATTAAGTATTTCACTCACCTTTTGCTTTGTTCTCTATTCTTCTTTTAGCTATTGCTTTCTCCTTTTACTGCTGGCTCTCTTCAGCTTTTCGTTGAGATGATTATCTAAAAGGAAAACAGAATTTCTTCTAAGGAAAGCAAAACTCTAACTTGCAGTTGTGGAAGTATTTTACCCTATTTTTGTATAATTACTTTCGTTTTCTATGGTGAAGCAGCTGAGAAAAATTGCTCTAATTGTGTAATTTTCTGCAACTACTCTGGGACAAAAATTTGGGTAATTGGATTTTTTTAAACTAACAAGTTGTCACAATTGGATAGTTCTTAAACTATTTGTGCTTATGCTTCAGAAATTTTCAGTGGATGTACAGTGCGTTTTAAATGTTTCGCATCAGCTTGTGGTCTCAAATTTGATTTATTTTAACTTCGGATTTTAAAATAGATTGACAACTCTGATTATACATTGTCTTCACTAAGCAGACCTTTGCTAAGTTTCCTAGCATGCTCATCCCCACCCCACACTCTGCTGTTGCCATGGGAGCCAAAATCCTGGCATGTGTAACTCCAGCTCCCAAGTGGCTCTGTTTCCCAGAGTGCTTTGCTGTTACTATGGAAATGACTGCCCATTAATCTTGCTCTCCTTTTACTACCAAAGCACCTTTAGCTGTCTCAAGCAATCAAGTGATATAACCTACAGCAGGGGAAGTAAGGAGAGGACTGCTTCCCGTTCTACAACTACTGCCCTGATTTTAATCAAGATTTAATCAAGGAGCAGAAGGAACTAAAGCTACTCCAACAGCTCCTTTTAAAAACATACAAAGCAGGATCCTTTTGATACATAGGCATGTGCCCTTGTTCATGCCCTTGTTGGAGACCTCTGCAAAAGCATGCTAGGTGTTTTTAAAGTTATGTGTTTCATATACATTACCAACAAGCACAATGGAATCAGGAGGGTAAGTGATCACTCATTTCTTCTGTGGAAAATGTAGGGCTCTCTCTACAGATTGTTTGCAGAAAGTGTTTTGGGAAACGGTCTGGGAAACCTCCAAAAACAATGGACTATTGACTTGAACAAAACCGTATCATCCTATGGAAGTTGAGGGGTGGTAAACTAGAGTCCAGAGAATATTAACTAATGGGTTAATTTCACAAACTCTGCATCTTTCTTTTATTACAGGTTATATATCTGTGAAATTTTAAATTTGACTATATGATCATTTGTACAAAATAAAAATAGGACTTGGTAATTCTGGAAGGATATTTTAGGTCATCAGGGGGAAAAAAGTATTTGAAAACAAATAAATCTTGGCCTGAACACCCTGGATCTGAGTGCATCACTGTGGAAAGATTATACCAGCTCTGGCAAATGAAATGTGCCCAAGAGCAGTTTTTGGAAATAGGAAAATTTAAGTGGTATAATATGTGAGGGAATCTAGTTGAACCCTGCAGCACAAAGAGAGGCTTCTAGTGCTCTGAAAATAATCAAATGGCATTGATGTTTGGTGAGGGAGAAAAGGGAGAACTCTTGGTGGAGAAATAAGCACAAAGACCAGGCACTTTTCCTCCCCTCTGAAGGGCACCAGGAAAGGGATGACTGTGACTCCACGCAATCTGAACAGGTTGCCTGTTGTTTTGTCCCTCTGCCCTGATTCAAGAAGACATGAATGAAGGAGTGAATGGAAGAACGATACCACAAAATCTGGGAAGATTTGTTCAAATGTGTAGAAGGAGTGTATGTTCATAAGGTTACCACTTTTGCGATAGTTAGGAAATCATCCCATAAAAAGCAAATCTTAATTTAGCTATGATGGAATCAACCCAGATACCCACCAACAGATGAATGGATCAAAAAATTGTGAGATACACACACACACACACACACACACACACACACTGGAGTTTTACACAAAGAAAAATTAAATAATGGCATTTGCTGGTAAATGCATGGAAATGGAGAAAGTCATGCTAAGTGAAATAAGCCGGACTCAGAAAATCAAGAGCTAAATGAATTCTCTCATATGTGGAAGTTAGAGTAAAATAGAGAAAGAAGGTCGCAAGAAAGGAGATTGGATATCATAAGGATATAAGATAGATTAGTGAAGTTAAAAACAGGAGAGAAGGAGGCAGGGAGGAAGGGAAGGGGGCTAGAAATATGGAATGAAGCAAAATAGCTTGTTACATACATATATAAATGTACAAAAGAATTTCACCTGTACAAGTGTGTGTTATATATATATATATATATATATATATATATAAAATATATATGTACATGTAATATGTATACATATAATATGTATAAATATATATATAACCAAACAAAAGTTAATATATAAGGAGTGAAAGGAAGATCAATAAAAGAAAGAAGAAAGAACAGGGTGAAGGGAGGAGGGAAGGGAAAGGGGAGGGTGTATAGGGATTGAAATCAAAATCCTTAAATGTATTATTTTCTCAAAATGAACCCAAATACTAAATATAATTATGATACTCTGAAATTATTTTTTAAAAATAAAAGGACATACACTAATAGATTTCAGAAATAAAAGCAGATCTTAGAGTAAAATGAGAGAAAAAAATAAGATTAACAGGATTTTGTCAAAACAGAAGAAACATGAAGTGACAGCTTCTCAGCCTTTGAACACCATCCTAGCTTCCAGTGATGTGGTGAGTTAAGTCATGATACTACGTTATTCCTCCAGTGGTGTTTTTCCATCCCATTCTGTATTATTTCTTATGGCTTCTATAACAAAGGACCAGAAATTGAGTGTCTCACAATAACAGAAATTTATTGTCTGACAGTTCTGAAAGCTGAAGTCTGAAATCAAGATATAGGAAGGGCCATGTTCCCTCTGAAACCAGAGGAAGAGAATCCTTCCATGCCTCTTTTATTTCTGGTATTTTCCAGCAATTCTTGTCATTCCTTGGCCTGGACATTCATCTCTGCAATCCCCATCATCAAGAAGCTGACTTCTCTGTGTATCTTCATATCATTTTCCCTCTGTGAATTCCTGTGCCCAAATTTCCTCCAATTTATAAATATACAGTTATATTGGATTAGGACCCCGCTCCCATACACACAGTTCAGTGTCATGTCATTTTTACCAATTATGTCTGCAACAAATGTATTTATTTCCAAATAAGATCACATTCTGAGGTCTAGATGGTTTGGACTTCAATGGTATCTTTCCAGGGGACACAATTCAACCCATAACACCTTTTTCCAGAAATAGAATCAAGAAAAGTATGAAGGAAAATTACTGGATAATTATAAAAGTCAGTTATTGGATATCTTTATAGACTTCAGGCCATCTGACTCCTTCAGTTTGTTGGGGTATGAGTTAATGGAATTGTATTTATGAAAACTCAGTTTATTCTCATGCCCAGGAGACTACATGTGAGATAGAGATTGATGATGATGATGATGGTGATGATGATGATGATGATGATGGCAGCACTCGTGATAATGATGATGGCGGCTAACACTTATTACTATTAACTGGCTTATTATGAGCCAGGTGGTATTCTAAATGCTTTATGAATTCATTTATTTCTTACCATCACTCCACGAGGAAAATTCCTATTATTCTCATTTTACAGATGAGAAAATGGAGAAGTTAACAAAGGGCTTGAGGCAGGTCAGTTAGAAGAAATTTCACTTCACGTCTTCTTAAGTATAGTCTCACCTTCTACCCTCAAGACCTCGACATGATCCCATTGAAACCTTGATCTTCCCAATTTACAGAATGATTTTCACCCACCCAATCCTCCCAAAATGAAAGAGCTACCTATATAGCCTCCTATCTTTACATCAGTGCCAGTTTCCCCTCCCACGTGAAAAGGAACACACATGTACCTGCCCAGGTCAGTTCTTTGTAAGGCAATACCGAGGCCATCTTGACTTACATAGGCTGATCCTCCAAAGGCATGTTATATCCACATCTCATTGTTATACCCATGGAATGGACTCACTTTATACTAAGTTCTTGTAAATTTTAGATATGATAGTATGAATTTGTTCCCCAAAAGAATATAAACCAATTCTGAGTCATTAGTCTGGGAATAATATACTTTTAAAATATATTATTACTTTTTTTTGTAGATTGTTATTTACCTAGAACTAGAAAAGCCAGAGTGATTTACAGCAATTAAGATATCAATTGAGACAGATCTTATTCTCTTGAGATTTCTTGGATGGATGAATTAGAGGAGCATACTGGTTTGACTTGATTGTCCATCCCTGTGTTTAATTAGTTCCACCAGGCAACAACAAAACAAATTCTTCATTGTACGCTCATCAGATGTTCAGTGTCCTAGGATGACTTTATGTTAAAGCAGCCATCCTCAAAAATACAAAATTACATAAAGGCCCCTGTCTCATCCTTGGACTCTGAGCACTAGGCACAGAAAATGATTGTGTAATACAAACATTTGTCCATAAAGATTTAAAAGCTGACCACATTGTGAGCATTCAATAGTTATGAAACAATAAACAAGTTTATCAATTAAGCAGAAAGAAACCAAATAACAATATCCAGAATGATCATACAGGGAGGAATGCCAGCATGAGGCCCAGCCACCTCTTTCTCTTTCACCCTTACTCTTTTAGGGGAAGGATTTTGATTGGCTAGTGGTGATCTCAGCTATGACACTTGATTCTTCCCTTTCCCTGACATCTTGCGACTTGTGATACAACAGTAGATTAAGATCCATACCTGGCCCCCTACAAATAATATGCTGTAAAGTCATGCATAGAAGTGTATTTTCAAGTAACAACAATAGTGCTCTCTGAATTTAGCAAGAAAAGAAAAGCCATGACTACAATTTCAGATAACCTTGGAAATCTAAAAAAAAAAAAATTAGAAATTGAAAGCAATTCATCAAAAATCATCTCTCTCAGACCAGGCCTGAGACAGATTATTTACAAAATTGTTCTTGTCTCCTTAAGATGAGTCCCTGCCTCCCCTCACTGCTTCTGAACGGAAAACTGGTCACATAGCCCCAACAGAGAAATCAGTCTCTGCTCTGAGAGGAAAAAGCTTACTCAGCAAGAGGATCAAAGGGCCACCTGGGGCCAGGGTCCCCGTGTGAGAGGGTATCTCGAGATTGTT